GAGGAGAATGGAGGAGAAGGGATTGCGGCGTGACCATCCCCCCTGGGGGGTGATTTCTCACTTTCTGTCTCTATGTCTCTCTCTGTCTGTCTGGTGAGCGCACACGCCCTATAGTGAAAATCTCTCCAAAAAAAGAATCATTTATTTATTTAATTCTATTTGATGTTGTTGTTGTTATTGTTGTTATTATTATTATTATTATTATTATTATTTGACCAAAGAGAGACAGAGTGAGAGAGCAAGGGAAGGCAAGAAAGCAAGCCGTCAGGTCCAGGACTCCAACCATGGTTGGCCTTGTGCAAATCCAGCACCTTTTAGCCGCCATACCATCTGCCAGCCCTGTTGTGTTTTAAAGGTAAAATTTTAGGGGGTCTGGCAGGTAGCGTGATTGTTAAGGCACTGGACTCCCACACGGGCAATCACAGTTTGTGTCCTGGGCCTGGTGGCTTGCTCTCCCTCTCTCTCTCTTTCTCTATCTCTCTCTCTCTCTCTCTTTTTTTTTTTTAAGAATTATTTTATTTTACTTTATTTATTTACTTATTTTAATTTGACCAGAGAGGAAGAGAGAGAGAGAGAGAGAGAGCGAGCATGCAAGCCGCCAGGTCCGGGACTTGAACCATGGTCGGCCATGTGGGAGTCCAGTGTCTTAACTACCATGCCACCTGCTGGCCCCTCTCTGTCTCTCTTTGTTCAAATTAGATAATAATAACATTAATGAATAACATTTTAAAAAGATAAAGTTAAAATTTTAGGAAAGACCAACTTGTCTCTGTGCTACAGACACTCAAACCATACCTATGTCATGTTTCTCTTTATTTTATTTTATTTTTTGAAAGATTTTTGCTTTAGGATAGGTGTGCTCTTCAGAGAGACAGAGAAAGAAACTGAAAAATCACCCTTCAGGGGGATGGCCATGCTGCAGTCCTTTCTGTCAGGATTTTGGACGTGCTTAGACACATGCCTGGCGTGAGTTTCAAGCTGCTGGATCCAGGACTTGAACTGTGGTCAGCCATGTGGGAGTCTAGTGCCTTAAGTACTATGCCACTTGCCCCTACTTTTTTTTTTAATGCTGATTGTCGTCTTTGGAACATTCTACCTAAGAGGCTGTATATGGTAGTTTATGCCTGTGTTTTGCATAAAATACTTCACCATCTGAGTTATTATTTCTGCAGAGTAAAAGTAGTTAAAATTTTATTTATTTTTTAATTTTCAGTATTTCTTGTGTTGATTATTTGGAATGTGATCTGGGACAGACAGAATTTACTCCTCCTGGATGCGTGTCTTTATTAAATATTACTGAACCAGTTCTGGGTATGTATTATACATTTATTTTCTATTTTTTATATTTATTTACTTTTTTCTTCTTTTCATGATTGAACACATACGTACACAGTTGAGAATAGGATGGGGGCTTATGAGTACCCTTTGTGAAGTCTGGTCACAGCATGATTCCTTTTCTTTAATCCTCCAGCCTGTCAGATCTCAGGCACTTGAACACATGCCTCGTGTGTTTCAAACTGACCTGGCAGGTGATTCGAACTTTGGTCACCATGTGGGATCCTGTTTCTCTTAGCAATGCGTTACCTTTGCCCATGGAGCTGTCCCTGTGTGTTTCTTAAATGTCTTGGTTTTATAAAATTCAAAAGTAATTGTACAGAAAACTCGAAACAATATGAAAGTATAAAATATTAAACATGAACATACACTGGGGGCCAGCAGGTGATGTAGTGGTTAAGGTGCTGGACTCCCACATGGTTGATGGCAGTTTAAGTTCTAGACCAAGCAATTTGGAAATCTCATCAGGTGCATGTGTGTGCATGCCCAAAATTCCAAGAGGAAGTGGAAGAGAGGAATTGCAGCATGGTCATCCCCCTTGGGGTGTAATTTCTCACTTAGCCTCTGTAACTGTGTCTCTCTCAGGCAAGCACATGCACCCTAAGGCAATAACCTTTAAAAAGGAAGAAACAAAAGGTGAACGTACTGGCCAAACCGGTGATCCTTTCATAATGCTTTCTCTAGCCTCCAAAAAACAAACTATGGTACTTTGCTCTTTTAGGAAATGGAACTTCTATCACCTTGTATAAAATTAGAAATATTCTTCCCCCCATAATAATTTTTTATGTAATACTCTACAAATGTCTATACTGGGAAATTAACATTGATATGATACTGTTAACCAATCTACAGATTTTATCCTAAATTCACCAGTTACTATACTAATGTCTTTTTCTGGTTCAGAATTCAGCCCTGAAACCCAGAATTCTACATTGCTTTTTTTCATTAATGATAAACTATAATTGTGTATGTGTATATATATATATATATATATATATATATATATATATATATATATATATACACACAAGAAATCACCCCTGGGGGATGACCCCTGGCCTCAATTCCTTCTCCTTCACTCTTCTGAGATTTTTGGGCACGCAAAAGCACCTGGCATGATTTTCAAGCCACCAGGTCAAGGACTCGAACTGCAGTTAGCCATGTGGGAGTCTAGCACCTTAACTGCCTGCTACCTGCTAGCCTGAAACCAATGTGATTTTTCCAACCTCCAGGTCCAGGACTGGATTATGGTCGACTGTGTGGGAATCTACCACCTTTAAAAAAAAAATCATTTAATTTTTTTTATTTACTCATTTACTTCTGCTAAAAAAAAATTATTTATTTATTTATATAATTCCATTTGTTACTAATTTTTAATTTGACCAGAGAGAGAAAAAGGGAATGGGAAAAAGCAAGCCGTCTGGTCCAGGACTCTTCGGTCGACCATGTGGGAATCCAGTGCCTTTAACCACATCACCTGCCTGCCCCAAAATGTGTGCTTTTAAAAAAAGAATTATTTTATTCAACTTTATTTATTTATTTATTTAATGTTTTTATTAACAGTATTATTTTTGCTTTTCTTTGGGAGAGGTTTTTGCCATAGGGTGCGTGTGCTCACCAGACAGAGAGAAACAGAGAGACATAAAGCAAGAAATCACCCCCCCGGGGGGGACGGCCATGCCGCAGTCCCTTCTCCTCCATTCTCCTCTTGGGATCTTGGGTGGGCACATACGCAAATGTGCCTGGCATGAATTTTAAGCCACCGGGTCCGGAACTCGAACCGTGGTCGACTACATGGGAGTCCAGTGACATAGCCATTACACTAACTGCTGGTCCCGATAGTATTATTTTTGGCCAAAGAGGGACAGAGATTGAACAGTGAGAAAGCAAGCCACCAGGCCCAGGACTTGAACCACAGTTGGCCATGAAGGAGTCTAGCACTCTTAACTACCACACCATCTGCCAGCCCCTATTTACTCACTTATTTTTATTTGACCAGAGAAAGATACAGAAAGAGGAAGGGAGGGCGATGAGAAAGCAAGCCACTAGGTCTGAGACTCAAACTGTGGTCGACCTTGTGGGAGTCCAGCACCTTAACTACCATAACACCTGCTGGCCTCAATATATATCATTTTAATCACATGTAGATATAAAATTAATTGACACTAAAGACATTTACAATATTGTACAACTCTCACCACTTTTTTTTTTTAGTATTTATTTATTTATTTATTTATTTTTAAAGATTTATTTATTCATTCATTCCTTCATTTTAATTTGACCAGAGAGAGATACAGAGAGAGAGAGGAAAGTGAGAAGACCAGCCACCAGGTCCAGGACTTAAACCGTGGTCTGCCATGTGGGAGTGTCCAGCACCTTAACCACCACGCCACCTGCTGGTTTCTATTTTTTTTTTTTTAGAGAGATTTTTACTCTAAGGCATGTGCACTCGCCAGACAGAGACATAGAGATAGAAAGCAAGAAATTACTCCCCAGGTGGATGGCCACATCGCAGTCTCTCTTCTTTCATTCTCCTCTTGGGATCTTGGGCACCCACGAACTCGTTCCTGGTGTGTTTTAAGTCACTGCATCCAGGACTTGAATTGCTGTGGGCTATGTGGGAGCCCACCAACATAACCATTACACCAACTGGCCCCAGGAATAATTTTATATATTTTTAATTTGACCAGAGAGGGACAGAGCGAGAAAGGGGGAAAGTGAGAAAGCAAGCCACCAGGTCCGGGACTGGAACCAGGGTTGGCCATATGGTAGTTTGGCGCCCTTAACCCCCATGCAACAACCTCTAGTAACCTCGTTTCTGCTTTTTGTCTCTATGAATGTGCCTATTCTAGGTGTCTCATATTAAGTGGAATCTTGTAATACTTGTCCTTTGTATGTGTGTCTGGTTTATTTTGTTCAACATGTTTTCAAGATCTGTCTGTGTTGTAACCTAAGGACATACAATTCATTTTTGTAGCTGCTTAGTATCCCATTGTATATATGTGTTGCATTTTGTTTACCCATTTCGGCTGTCTATAGCCACCTGGGTTGTTCCCATATTTTGGCTATTGTGAATACTGCTGCTATGGACACAGGTATATAAGTTTCATTCAAGTCTATGCCTTCCAGTTCTTTTAAGACATATCAAGGACTAGAATTGCTGAGTCATATGGTGATTCCATGTTCAGTTTTTTTTAAAGAGGTAGGGTTTTTTGTTTGTTTGTTTGTTTTGATAAGGTCTCACTGTGCCATCATCCTCCTCAGCCAGCCCTAACTAGGGGCATGCAGTGGGGCCAGCAAACGTGTAGAGGTTATGTTGCTAAGACTCCCATTTGGCTGACCGCAGTTCAAATCCCAGACCCAGTGGCTTAAAACTCACATTGGGATCCTGTGCATATATGCCCAAGATCCTGAGAGAAGGGCTTGCAGCATGGCCATCAGCCCGGGGGTACTTTGTCACTTTTCCTATCTATGTCTGTCTCTCTAGCGATTGCACACATCCTTAGGCAAAAATGTCTTTTTTTTTTTTTTTTTAAGAATTATTTATTTCGGGAACCAGCAGTTAGCGTAATGGCTATGTCACTCGACTCCCACGTAGTCGACCACGGTTTGCATCCTGGACCAGGTGGCTTAAAACTCACGGCAGGCGCGTGTGCGTGCGTGCCCAAGATCCTGAGAGGAGAATGGAGGAGGAGGGATTGCGGCGTGACCATCCCCCCTGGGGTGTGATTTCTCACTTTCTGTCTCTATGTCTCTGTCTGGCGAGCACATGCGCCCTACAGCGAAAACCTCTCCAAAAAAAAATGAATTATTTATTTCCATTTGTTATTGTTATTTTTTTGTTTATTTGATGAGAGTTGGGGGGGGAAGGGAGGGAAGGAGGGAGGGAGGGAAAGTGAGAAAGCAAGCCACCAGGTTCAGGACTTGAACCATGGTTGGCCATGTGGGAATCCAGCACCCTTATCCACCACACCACCTGCTGGCCCCAAAAATGTCTGTTTTTTTTTTAGAATTATTTTATTTAACTTTATTTACTTATTTAATTTGACCAGAGAGGGACAGAGCCAGAGAGATTGAAAGAGAGAAAGGGAAAATGAGAAAGCAAGCCACCAGTTCTGGGACTCGAACTATGGTCGGCCATGTGGGAGTCCAGCGCCCTTAACCACTATGCCACCTGCCAGCCTCGCAAAAATGTCCTAGAAAAAGATACAGGGGCATGTGGGGTCTTTTTTTTTTTTTTTTTTTTTTTTTTTTTTTTTTTTTTTGTGAGAGTTTTTTCTATGGGGTGGTTTGTTAAGTATACTCGCCAGAAAGAGTGACAGAGACAGAAAGCCAGGGGGGATGGCCATGCCGCAGTCCCTTCTCCCTTCTCCTCTGCATCCGTTTTTTTGTTTGTTTGTTTGTTTTTAGTTTTTGCTATAGGATACTTGCTCTTGACAGAGAGGGACAGTGAGAGGAAAAGTGAGATATCACTCCCCAGGGTGGATGGCTGTGCTGTAGTCCCTTTTCCATTTTCTTGGGTTTGGGGGCATGCACACACAAGTGATTTTCATGCCAGGTCTGGGACTCGAACATGGTCAGCCATGTGGGAGTCCAGCCCATTAACTACTGCACTACCTGCTAGCCTCTACATCCCTGTTTTTTTTGTTTTTTGTTTTTTGTTTTTTTTTTTTTTTTAGAGGTTTTCGCTATAGGGCGCTTGCGCTTTCCAGACAGACAGAGAGCGACATAGAGACAGAAGGCGAGAAATCACCCCCCAGGGTGGATGGTCACGCTGCAATCTCTTCTCCTCCATTAACCTCTCGGGATCTTGGGCATGCACGCACACGTGCCCGGCGTAAGTTTTAAGCCACTGGGACCAGGACGCGAACCGTGGTCGACTACGTGGGAGTCCAGCGACATAGCCATTACGCTAACCGCTGGTTCCCTACATCCCTGTTTTTAACTGACTCATGACTGTCCTTTTTTGGGGGGGC